GAAAGTGGCAGGCAAAGCAAATTTTGGGAGCCTGTTAGTAGTAAATGCTTTTCTCAGTGAAGGTGTAATATTCACGGGACTTTGAAGTATGAATCTTAATCCCTTTAAGATCCTGACATTAATATTAGAATTTCCTTGTGTTACATTAAAGTTTTTCTAAGCCTGAATTCCCATTGATAAAGTGAATAATTTGAATTTTAGTTTTATATCTCGTAGTATTTTATAGTGCCCCTTCCTTCTTTCCTTCCTTTCTTCCTTCCTCCCTGCCCCCAGACAGCACATCAGAAAGTTCGACTTTTGGGCAAATAGCAAGGCCCAGGGGTCTGACCAGTCAGATGGTCTCTCTTAGTAGGCTGTTGGCAAGTGCAGAAGAAAGAGAATGCTAATGTACAAACACATTCTTATTATCTATTCAACTGACAAAACCATATCTGTTTTTGATGTTGAACCATTTGGCAGTGCCAGCAACTTTTATCCCTGGGAAAGTCATTTTATGTTGTAGTAGCAACTAGGTGCCACAGTGGATAGAGGGTTGGGCCTGGAATCAGGAAGACTTGAGTTCAAATCCTACCTCAGACACTTAGTAGCTATGCGACCCTGGGCAAGTCACTTAACCTCTGTTTGTTTCAGTTTCCTCATCTATAACATGGGGATAATAATAAGATTGTGAAGATAAATTATATGAGGCAATATTTATAAAGCTTTTTGCAAACCTTAAAGTGCTATATAAATGCTAGCTGTTGCTGCTACTAGTACTACTGCTAGTCCTACTACTAGTACTACTACTGGTACTACTACTGCTGCCACTGTAATGGCCACCTCTTGGAGCCTCAGTTTTCTTATCCCCAAAATTAGGATGATAACAGCACCAATTTCCCAAAGATTGTCATGAAGATCACGTGAGACTATTTGTGTTAAATGCTTTGCAAACCTTAAAATGCTGTATTAATGTGACCTAAGCAACTGGTGTTGGTGTTATGATTCCCAAATCTCTATCTCCTGCCTTTACCACTCTCCCAGGCTCCATAGTTGAATTTTCTAAAGCCTCTTAGGTCCTGTCAATACACAGCTGTCCTGCCAAACTTAATGTGCATGGAAGCTAATTCATTTTTCCTATGAAACTCTTTTTCCTGACTTTTTCCTCCATTAATGTCACTATAATTCTTCTAATCATTATACTTATACCCTCAAAGTCACTTTGGATTCCTCCTACTCATTGGCCCACCACACCCAATCAATTGTTAAGTCTTATCAATTCTAATCCACAATCTTTCTTAAGTATTTCTTGATATAGTAGAAGGTATGATGGACTTAGGAAATCTGGATGGTTTGGGGGAGGTTGATTTTTATTGAAATACGTAATATGGTATTGTGGATTTTCCCCTTCATTGACTGATGATGCAGTGTGACATAATGGAAAAACTACTAGATCCAGAATCAGAGGAACTAGATTTGAACCCTGGCTTTGTGACTTAATAACTACGTGACCTGAATTTCTTTAGGCTCTGGTTTCCTTATATGTAAATGAGAGTGTAGGACTATATTATTTCTAAGGCCTCTTCAAGCTCTAAATCCTAAAATCATTGTCCTAAGGTCCATTTAGGACTATTTTCTATCTCCTGAATGCATCTGTCACTCTTATTGTTGTTCAGTTATTTCAGATGGGTCTGGCTTTTTGTGACACCATTTAGGGTTTCTTGGCAAAGATATTGGGGTGATTTACCGTTTCCTTATCCAGCTTATTTTCCAGATGAGGAATGGAAGGCAAACAGGGTTAAGTGACTTGCCCAGGGTCACATAGCTAGTAAGTGTCTGGGGTCAAATTTGAACTCAGAAAGATAAGTCTTCCTGACTCCAGGACCCACAGTCTATTCTACTGCACCACCAAGCTGTCCATGTTGTCACTCTTTGCTTTTGCTAACACCATTCCCTGCATTTGGAATGCCTTCTCCTTTTTCTATTGAAATCCTGCCTATTTTTTAAGGTCCAACTCAAAATGCCACCTCCTCTAGTAAGTCTTCCCTCACCCTTTTCTCTGTCTTGGCTACACAGAAGTGTTCCTTCGCACCAAAAGTATCATAGCAACTTGATAATTCCTCTTCGGCATTTGTTTCATTTTGTATTGTAATTGGTTATATACTACTTATTAGAACGAATTCTTAACCTGGGGTCTGTAAACTTGTGTTTTAAAATTTTTTTTTAAATAACTTGTAATATAATTGGTTTCCTTTGCAATCCTATGTATTTTATGCATTTAAAAACATAATTCTAAGATATCCATAAACTGCTAATGGGGTTCATGACACAAAAAGGTTAAGAGCCCCCATGTTAGATTGTAAGCTTCTTGAGGGCAGGGACCACATTTTTTTGTTTTTGTTTGTTTTTTTAAAATCATTTTTCTCGCACGTATCTTGTACATAGTAGGCATTAAAAAAATACATCAAAAAGCATTTATTAAGCACTTATTATGCCAGGCACCATTAGCTACTAGAAGTACTAATATAGAGAATGAAACTAACCCTACCCTTAAGGAGCTTACACCCTAATGGGAGATACAAGTGCATGCATAATTATATACAGAATATATATAAAAAGAATAAAAATAAAGTTGTTAAATACAAGTTATTTTGAGAAGCCTTCTTCATGTAGAAGCTTGAACTTTGATCTTATGGAAAAGAAGACTTAAGAGGTGGAGGTGAGGAGGGAGTACATTCTGGGGATGGATCACAGCCAGGGCAAAGGCTGGAAAATGGTTTTGTTTTGTTTTGTTTAATGTGAGGCAGTTGGCGTTAAGTGACTTGTTCAGAATCACACAGCTAGTGAGTATTATGTATCTGAGGCTGAATTTGACTTTAGGGCCAGTGCTCTATCCATTGTGCCACCTAACTTCCCCAAAGGCTTAAAAATGGAATGTCATGTGTGAAGAGCAGAACAGAGGAGGGGGATTCACGTAATGGGAAAGATAGGTTGAGGAAAGGTTGTAAAGCTTAAAAATATTGTTCCTGCCTTTCAGTAGAGAGATGGTTGACTAGAAGTGCAGAATAAGGCATACATTTCCAGACATGCTTGCTTTGCTGATTAGTTTTGTTTAACTAGTGGGGAGCAGACAGATCTGTGCAGAATAACGGTAGTGTAAAAACAAGTATCAGGGTTTTTTTAAGGCTTATTGAATTATGTGGTAGTAGACAAGCCACTTGATCTTTTTAGGCCTCAGTTCTAAAGATCTAACATATTGATCTAAAATTCAATGATCTGCATTAGTTAGGGAATTAATTAGGGAAACTTTCTTAGTAAGGAAGTTTTTGAAAAGATTCCTGAAGGGGGGCGGAAATGTGATACTAAACAAAAAGTTGCAATTTTTTCTTTGTAAAGAGAATTAGGAGAACACTGATAAGCTGCAGTTTCCAGAGGAAGGCAACTAGGATGATGAAAGGCCATGAGGCCATGTTATATGAAGATTGGTTGAAGCTGAGCATATTTAGACTAAAGAAGAGAAGGGTATGATTATTGGCTTCTAGTATTTGAAAGGCTGTCATGTTGGGGAGGGTTTAGAATTCATCTGTTTAGCCCTGGAGCAATGTGTAGGTGTTTCAAAGAGGCAAATTTAAACGATGTCAGGAAAAAGCTTCCTAATGATTAGAGCTGTCCAGAATTGGAATGGACAGCCCTCTTTGGAAGGCTTCCAGCAGAGGCCAAAGCATTAGTCGCCTATGCCATGATGGGAATTGCTTTTGTGTATAGAGGCTGAACTAGATGGCCCCTGAGAGAGCTTGCACTTTTAGATCTTTGTGGTTCTGTGAAGGTATAAAGGTGGCAGAGAGTAACGGCCAAATTTGACAAATCAGAAAACCCAAGTACAAAGTGGCAGTCCAGGAATTGATTCTACTCTTTGGTGGTGTTTCTTATGAATATGAAGTTGCAGAGACGTTTGTACTTGGGAAGTTTTACAGTACAAAGTATTACTTGACTTATATAGTTACTGTTATAAGTCATTAATTGTGACTTTTGAGCATTTATTGTGGTTGAATGCTTTAATTAGATGCAAGAATTTTGTTTTGAAGACTTTTCATAAAATGCTCACATTTCCATAAAAATACTTTTTGGAGGTAGGATAGATGTTTCAGCATTCAGCATATTTCAGTTACATCAATTTTTTTTATACAATTGGTTCAATTACTTCTGCTGTCATTAATAAGTATTAAGCCAGAAAAGGGAAACATTATTATGAACTTATAAGTCACAGATCAGATATGAGGGGCCATTACTTTTGAACTTCCCTTCTATTTGCAATTTTAAGCAAACTCCATAAAGTTAAACTTATTATCTACATCACCTTAATTTAGAGAAGTCAGTTGGTTAGCGTATTATGCCAGTGCTGGGGGAAATAAAAAATTTAGATAACATATAGTCCCTACCCTCAATTATAGTTTGTCATTTCTCTGAGCCCTTGTTTTCTTGGATAATGCTGCTGATTTCATGAGGTGAATTTGAGGAAAGCTCTTTATAAACATAAACTCTATGTAAAAATGAGCAGTTATTATTAGAAATTGTATAAAGGACCAAAGAAACCTTTTTTTCCTCCTTAATAGAGTTTATTTCAGTGTTGCTAAGGGCTCATTCCTTTAGAAAACTTTAAATATCAGTCTTTCACAGAACATTTTAGTATAACATTGGTAATGAATTCTAATTATTCTGTTTTTGCCTGTCACTACTAAGATTTTTCAGGGGTAGAATTTTTTTTTTTTTTTAAGAACTAATCTAACATTTTCCTTGGTATATTTTTGCTTAGAGGTAGGTCTGACCTGAAAGATGTTTTCAAAGCAAGCTAAACTGAACCTCAGAAACCTTCAAGTATGTTATATAAGTAACACCCCACTGCATTTTATTCTAATCGAGTAACTGATTCTGTGATTGAGATTGGGTTAAAAACTTTAATCAAGAAATTTCTGTTATTTATGAGAAGTCAAATTATAGCGCTTGGCTTTTCTCTCCTCTCCTAGGTCATTTGGATCCAGGATTCCTTGCAAGTGACAAACAGCTTCTGGCAATGCACAACTCAATGAAGAAATCAATATTGCCTCTTCTGACAGTGAAGTAGAGATTGTGGGAGTTCAGGAACATGCAAGGTAGGATAGTAATTTTTTTTTTCAATTTAAATTTGAATTTTACTTTCACTAGGGTTAAAAAACTAATGCCAAATGCCTCCCTTTGCTAACCTTAACCTTCCCCTCCCCCAAGAAAAGGAAAGGACTGGCCAAATGGTATGGCTAGTATGAATAGTGGATATTATCTGTCAAATTCTTCTTCCTTCTGAGTTGTTTTCTGGTTAAGTATGTAGAAGTTTCCGAGTTCAGGAGTGTGGTACAACATTGCCTCAAATTTTGACAAATCAACTAATACAGGATTACCTCTCTTTTATGATTTAATAGCTTCAAACTGCACTAGGGCTTTTGGGATATCTGTGTGGGTTACTGCTGCTCTTTTCCCCCTTAATTTTCAGTACTTAAGAGACGTTACTGAAATGACTGAACAAAAGGGACAGTTTTTAAAGCTGATACCCTAGGGAATGCTACAATTTTCTCCCTTTTGTAGATGAAGTAGCACCATAAAGTTTTTGTCATTACTATTTTTAATCACTCGGTTTTCCCTTCTTTTAACTTGACCTTAAATGAGACTGGTAGTTAAAAATTAAAGATAACCTTTAAACTCTCAAATATTTTTCATAGAAAGTAGATAATCAAAATGAAAGTCAATTTGGTCTACCTCATGCCAGCCTCTATGCTTATTAAGTGCCATATTTCTGTGCCAGGTGCCAACTACATGCTGGGGATACAAGGGCAGTGAAATTTTCTGTCTTCAAGGAGATTGGCATTCTATTACTTTTCACTTGATCTAATGAGATAATATTTGTAAAGCACTTAACACAGTACCTGGCACTTAGTAGGCTCTTAATAAATGCTTGTTCTCTTCCCTTACTTGTTCCCACTTAGCTCATATATAGATCTGGGATGTTCAGAAAGGCCTGGAAAATTAACCTAGTTTCCTCTTATTGCTTCAAATAAATTTGAAGTATAGGGGAAATCACAGATGTCATCTCCATTTAGTGGAGATAAATTTTTTTTAAGACATATTTGTAATGAGAACTAGTGTGGAACTGATCTTTCAGAGAAATCTGTTCCTTGCTGCAGTGAGATTTATTCTGCTGACAATTGTAATTTCATCATTTAGGATTTGATATGACATTTTCCCCTTAGTGGCCCAGGACTGAATTCTTCAGAGAACATCATGAATCTTCTTGATTCTACATATTGCTTTATCACTTGTATTTTTCCTGTTGTATCTTTTTTTTTCATTTCATTGCTTTCATTTTTTGCTTTCTTCAGCATCTCTAAGTTTCGTTTCCTTCTCAACTCTATTTTCTACTCCTTTGTGAATTATTTTGCCTTTACTGTTTCTTCTCCATTGCATCCTGTTGTACAGTTTTTTTTTCTGTCAGAAATATCTTTGAATTTTGGCCATCTCTTTTTTCTTTTACAGTGTATTTCTATTGTATTAGTTTCCCCCATTTTGGCTCTTAAAATGTCTCCATTGTCTTCTCTTCTTTTCTTCTTCCAAACTTCCATGTTTCTCTTGTTCATATTTTACATTTTTCCTGTTAGATTCATCCTTTTTCTTTTATCCTTTCCCCCCTGATATTTTAGTATTTCCTTCTTGCTAACTTGACCTTATTAGGGAGAAGTTAGAACTACTCATTTTTTCCTCATATCGCTCTACTCCTTGCCATCTGTTTCTTTTTTTATTAATCTTCCATATCTTCTTAGCTATTAGCCTTATGATCTTTGACTCTGTAATGAGCTTCTTTATTGTTTTCTCATCTTTATAAAAGTCCTTCTAAAATTTTTCTGTATTTAAAAATCTCACTTTGAAGCCCATGTCCAGTCTTCTTCAGGCTCAGCTAATTCCATCTTAAATATCACAGGTTTTTTTTTTTTGGTGGTTGTTGTTGTTGCTGCTGCTGCTGCTGTTCTTTTTATTTTGGTCTCCCAAATTTTCTTTCTTCTTCATGTCATTCAGAATGACATCAGCAGAATTACCATAAATTATACCATCAACACACATACCCTTTTTAATTTCTTTTTGTCTAATATTTAAAATCTTAATTTATTCAGTTCCCAATAAAAGTAGTACCCACTGTATTCTTACCTTTACTTCTTCCTAAATCTCCATTTCTTTTCTTTCTTTATGACTAGGCATATCATTTAATTACCATAGCTTATGTTTATCTTGGTGACTGCTGCTTCTCCACATCTTCCTGTGGCCAGAAGCCTAAATTATCTAGCTACCTCTTTTTCTGTGTTTTTCTTCTCCATTCCACCTTCCATCATAAAGCCTTTATTTTACTTCCATGTCTAAAAACTTTTGCCTACATTGACTAAATTGCAGGTCAGAGCTCTCAGGAAAAATTTTAAAAATTCACTACAGTTCTATAAAATCATGGAAGCTAGAGCCAAGTCCATTGTTTTCATCTAGTCCTGGTAATTTCAATGATTTTTGTCCTCCTTGTTTACCTAAATTGTAAATGCGCTGGAGAGAGACATATGGTCTCAGTTTTGTATAAACCCAAGTGATTGAATAAATGTAAAATATATCTTGCAACTCTTTTGTCAGGGGACATTCTCTTCTGTTGTCTTAAACCCTGAAATATAAGGAATAAGTCTTTGGTTCTGTTTTGTATGTTTATTTGCTATAGAAATTTTATTCTTCCTATAGATGGCTAATCCATTTTAAAAACAATATGGCATTTCAGAGCCTATTCACCAGAAGTGCTGGTTTTTTTCATTTTAAGTACAACGAAGGCCTTTTAACTGACCCATGCACATGCATGTGGACACAGCCTTTTGGACTATGAGGATGGCTTCACTGACCTCTTCCTTTAAGCCTTCCGCAGTTCCTGACCTGCTTCCTTTTTGGTGGTCTCCATATAAAACAACAAAGGCTGAAGGGCCATGAAGTGAACGGGGAAGCTTTCTTTTTTGTTGCGTCAGAATTGCGCCTTTTGGTTGCTTGTATCTTATCTGGAATTTATTTCTCTTGCAGGTCTAGGGTTGCAGTTATGAAGTATTGATGGGCTTCTGGCAGGGTTATCGCATGGAAAAAGGTTTTAGGTTTTGATCCACATCTTTTTGTTCTAGTTTGATGTGCATGCTCAAGTCAGATGTTTGTTTGGATTTAGTTGTCCTGTTCTCATTGTACTTTCCTATCTATGTTACAAATTGTTACTGGAATTTTGAGGGTTTATGAAACTCAGGCTTTGTCCTTGAGTGGTTGTTTTGGGGGGATTGTGGTGGCTCTGAGTCTGGGATCTTGGTGCCATGTTTCCTCCCTGGAAGCGTTTTGGTATTTGAATTGAGTCATTTTGGTTGTGATGTATGTGCTTTGGTGATATAATAGTTTCTTTTCCTTGCATGTTAAATTCTTTCCCCGCTCTTTTATTTGCAATTGTGATATGTTCATTTCGATTCCACATTTCCTTTGTAGTCCTAGACTAGAAAGCATGCTTTCTGAGCTGATAGTTGAATGAAACTTTGCTGATGGCTGCTTTGTGTTGATGGTTGATGCATTGAATTTCTTTTCTTTATCCAAACATCATCATTTCCATATAGTGTTTTGTGGACAACTTGCTTTCAGTGTGGGGTATTATCTTTTAGATTATTGAGATACAACTAAAGATTTCTCTTTCCATTGGATGGAAGTATTATCACCCTTCCTAGTGTTGCCCTGAACTTAATCAGCCACATGTAGGGTTCTGTGCTTTTTCTCGTCCCCTCTTTTGACAAAATAAATGAGTTTCTGATCTCAGTATAATAAACTTATATAAATTGCCTTACTCCTGTTTCTTCATTAGCACCAGTAACAAGGTGGTTGCAGAAGAAATCTGTTGAGGCTACATGTAGTTTCATGTCACTGAACCATGTTAGGTATATCCCAACCCTCCTATCTTCTTTGAATCCTGTCATTGCATTTTCTCAGATGCTTTTGTGCAACTTTCCATTGGGTTAGCCTTTTAGCACCTTAGGTCATTGACCTTAATGGTGACATAGGTCCTTAACCAAATAATTGATGGGAGGTGGGAAAACTTTTACATATTAAGCTGAAGACTTCCTAGAAGCTGACATCTATTAATGATAAATGCTGAAAATTGAAGGAGGCAGATTGAAAGACTTGGGGCCCATGGCCAGAAATATTTCCATTAAATAATGAGCAATCACTTAGTGTTCTAGAAGGAAAAGTAAATAGGAATGTTACCACAAAAGTAGAGTGATCTATAAATAAGTGCATAAAGGTTTAATTTTTAAGGTATCTCCTACAAATAAGTTAGCTAATCTGAACCAGTATTCCTTGTGTTTTTTTCTTTTCAACATTGTGAAACCTCTTCTTTAAAAAAAAAAATCTGGTTTCAGTGGATGAAGGATATGAAATTGATCATGTTTCTCTAAAACAGGAAAAAGTTTTAAGGAAAGTTTTCTGGTTTTTTTTTTTGGGTCAAGTGAGCTAATATGTCAGTATGGAACTCAAAGCTTGATTGCATTGTGCTTCTTCCTCACCCCCTCCTCTTGTCACATGCAAATGAAAATACAGAATGATCCAAAAGTCTTAATGGAGTTTTAAATTATTAAAGCTCAAAAAAGTACTCAGACTTTTGGGACACCAGAATTTCTCGTGGGAGATGGGAGGAAGTAGTCATTGGATTGGTCCAGTTCAGTTAGCTCATTTGCCCCTCTTTTGACCTCTCTGGTCCATATCAAAAAGGGATATGCAAACTACATGAAAATTTCCTTTTTATGTTAAGATTCCCTTAAAATTGTGCTAATTAGACTTGACTCTTCACAGCATTTATCTCCCTTGCAGCCCTTTCCTGTGGATTCTTCAGTTTTCTATAGCTTTTAACAATCTCTTTTTAGATTTCAGTCATCCCAATAACAGATACTATTTGTGTGAGACCTTAGGGGAAAATCTCTGTATTATTTCATTGGTATCTTACAGTTTTCCAGCATATGTTTCTCCTGTACAGTTCCCTCTATTTTCACGTTTATCCATTGCTGAGTCCTGTACTGTCTCCTTGCTCTTTTCTTATTCAACACTTTTATCTGCCATTAGGTTGAGAGATAATTTTAAGAGTCTTAAGTCAAAACTCTTCTGTGGCTTAGCCAGTCAGACTGGGAGTACTAAATCTGGGCTGACTTATTTGATGTTATGCTTCTTGTTTTCTTGGATTCTAGTTGTGTTATACCAGAAATTAGCCTTAAGAATATAAGTACTCCCAGGTTCATAGCTAAATCACCAATTTCAGAAGAGACATTAAGCTAACAATATCTTGGCAACAATTTTAAGTAATGTCACTGCTGTGGCTGGGAGGAGGAGATTGTTCCTCAGTCACCCATTTGGCAAAGGAGTAGCTTTCAGGCTAATTCTCCAGTGGAAACAGGAGTCCTGTTTCAGGAACTTAAAGTTCCTGTGTTCAGGCCAAAGTATATCTACTCACAGAGACAATTTTGGCATTGATCCCTGGTCATCATTACTAACCTAGTGCTCTGCTGAACTAGGTTGGGCTGGTAGTGTTCAGTCAGAACTGAAAGTTCCAAGGGCTTCAATACCACTTTTTATATACAGACAGTCTATAAACATCTTCTGAGCCCTGCTTTGGGAATCAGTGTCACTGTAGTCAGGCCACCTGTTAGATCTCATTTAAGCTTAATTAGGGATGGTCAGTACTTAAGCTGGAAGGACACAAGTGGTATTGATCCCACCAGCTGCCCTCTTCATATCTGACTCAATATTTCATCCTGAGAAACTTACAGAGCCTTTCAAGGAATGTGAAATCTAAGCTGTTCATGATTCTTTTTCTCCCAAATAACCCTTGAAGGAATTTCTAAGATGAATAATTCTGTCCCACCAACCTGAACCACTTTTGAGAGTTTGAGTCCAATATATAAGGACTCTGCCAATCTTGCTCCCCCAGAGACTATGGTCTGTAATAGAACAGAAAGGTGCCATATTCTTTTCATAGGGGAATTGGTCTCTATGCAAACTCTAGTACTCAGGAATCCTCACTGAAGAACAGAGTTACAGAAATCTAATCTGTATCATAGTATTGCTGTTGCTGCCTTTTAAATCATATTGCCAACATTGATATTGCAATTATTAATCTTATTATCATTGTTATTATTATTATCATCATCATCATTATAATTATTGGTGAGCATGCATCCTCTGTTGCTCTGACATTGTTTTTTAAAGCTGAGTTAATATTAGGTCTTAATTTTCTTATGGTTTTGTTTCCCTTTAGCAATATAATTTATCTAATGTATCTTTTGGCCTAAGGATCTCAAATTATATTTAAAACAAAAACAAAACAAAAAGTAAGTCACCCCTGGAATAGGAAGGGGACAGGGACTGTCATTCCTTGCTAGGTCCCCCTCAATAGTGAGAAAGAATGAGCCTCTCCAGAAATATGTGACATACCCACAGTCGACCAGTGACAGAGCCATGACAGTTCAGAAGTTTTATACATATACATATATATATATGTATATATTTTTTTTTGGTCCAATGTTGTGATCCTTGGCCTTTGTATGTTAAACCATGTCTGTTACATACATACATGATGTGTTTTGGATTACATGAGTATACATATCAGACTTGTCTTAGTAGTAAAGGCACTAGCCAATACAACTGAGACTACATTGTTTTACATTTTAATATTTGGAGCAAACATCTGCAGAATTAACTTTACTTTCATTATTCCTTCTGTAGGTGTGTACATCCTAGAGGTGGTGTGATTCAGAGCGTGTCTTCATGGAAGGATGGCTCAGGCTTACAATATTTTAGCAGCCGGCAAACACAATCATGGACATCCGTGACTCCCCAGCAGAATTGGTCTTCACCCTCGGAAGTAGTCGATCTTACCTTGGATGAAGACAGCAGACGCAAATACCTACTGTAATACGATGTCACTGTGTTTCTTCCCCACTGTACCCTTCCTTTTCTCTTTGGCACAGAAGTTCATTGTCATTGCTTCAACTTCAGAAGCCTTGCTCTTGGCATTTGTGGAATTGAAACTTGTGGAGAATTACCCCTTTAAAAAACACTGAGGTTTTATCTTTTAAAAGTCATTTAGGAAAATGAAGGACTCTTTCCCTCCTTCATTAGGAAGCTGAGAGATAATGATGAATTTTATGGGGGAAAAAAAACTGCAGTTATATGCGGTGAATATTAATCAGAGGAAATGCTATCCAGCTCTGCCTTCCTCACTCCTAATAGAATAATATTAATTTAATTACAAGGTGAATTTTAACTGGGGTTTTGGAACCTTGTATTTCTCTCTGTGAGTGAAATTATAACCTACAGGGTTAGCTCTTCCTTTCCTTCCCACTGGCCCTCTTGCCCCAGGGCATTTGCACATTTCTCAGTCAGGTTCTATTATTAGCACTCAGTAGGACATGTGTTTTAATAGCTTGTCCGTTTAAGCAGAAAACAGAAGCATTACTGTTTCTCTCTTAACTTGGTTTTCTGCTCTCTTTCCTGACTACTCTCCTGACTGGTGACTTGCCACAACTTGAATGACTTTGCTCTGATGTTGTGATCACAAATGCTGTTAAGTTGACTTCTGTTGATTCCTTGTTTGCAATAACTTTTAACTTTGAAAAATGAGAATTTCTTGACTAGTAGCTACTTCCAGGATAATACTTTTCTGAGGAGGGTTGGTATCAATGGAAAAAAAATCTCCATTCTGATTCCATTGGCTTTTCTTTTTTTTTTTTCTGGTCTACTCAAATATAACTGGAAAATGTATAAAGGTGAAACTGGGAACCTGTTACATGGGCCTGAAACAGAGAGAGAGGCCAAAGTTGGGAGGCTATAGGAACTCATAAGCTTGCATGGCATTTGGCAAGGGTGTTAAGTGCCTTCTTTCATAGCAAGTCTCTCCATGTAGGGCATAGCCAGTAAGCGCTAAATACATAAACTGATGCTGAACTGATGTTGTGCTTGGATATCTTTCTCCTTCCTACTTTTAAAAAAAATAATATATGCCATAAGAAGCACATGATGCAACATTCTAGATTTTACATAATTAAAAATAGGGAAAATTCAGGAAATGCCAAAGTTGAGATTTTTGTGGCATTGTTAGCTCCTTGGTATCTGGGATTTATTTCACTTATTGTTCATATCTCTTGAAAGCAATAGCTTTGATAACAATACCATGTACAGAGGTGGGGTAAAGTGATGTTGCTTTCAGGACCTCCCCACCTTTTGTTTTTTCCTAGCCTTTCCTTTTTGGTTTTCTGGTAATTCAACTGTTGGTAAGCTGCTTTACCTGTAGCCCTTAATGCATCAGTGGCTGCTGCTTATCATAGGAGCATGCATGAGAACTGCACAGTCCGAATAGTCTGCCTGACCCTATTTGTCCAATATTTAAAATACTTTATTTTTAGTAAAGCATAGTTTCTTAGTGGACCCCTTCTACTACTTTGGGCTCTTAATGCCCTCTTCCTACAGGGATGTATTTTTGATCACATATTCTTTGATCAGCTCCTTTCTCTGGTATTTTTTCATTTGCTTTTGTTTTCCATCAGTTGTTCAGATTCAGGCTTTTGAAATAACAATTCCAGTTTATGAATCTTGATTCAATCCTGTATATGGGCCTCTTGGCAAAACCAAAGACCAAAAGTGAGGCTGAAATGGAAACAATATTCCAATCTGACTGTTATTAATGTCCTCAGACTGTTCATATTTAATTTCGGCATTATTTTTATTAAATACTTTGTACTATTACAAGCTGTTATTTACTTAGCTTAAAGTACTTTGCCAAGCTGAATGCACAACTTTTGATCTGTTGTTTTTCAAAGAAACCAACTTGAAGAGTATAAGGTGGGTCATGATCACTTCAAATTTGTTTAGCTATTTTCTCCACAGACACCTGTAAAACTCCTTTGAAGTAAATACTATTATAGAGAAAGTTCAGTTTAATAAAGTTATTTCTGTAGCCCATTGTATACGGGCCATAGAAACAATACACTGTTGACCCTTTTGCAACAAATTCTCTACATAGCATATAATCCTCTGTGTTAGTGCTTTATTTTTTTGGGGGGTTATTTGTATATTATTTTTTTGTATCGTAGGTAGGAAAAGGAGAGTTGAGCTGTCCCTAAGCTCTTCACACTTTGGTCCTACCAGCAAGTAGTACCTTTCAACTCTTATTGCCCCTTCCCTCTTTAGACATCCCAACCAACTAAACTCTAATAGTCTCCAAAACAAAATGGTAGTGGAGATAGAGATCCAGGAACTAAGCAGAGGAGAGAGAAGATAATGTCATGGACATTACACTCACTCTTCTACATATTTGGAGCCCATTTTTTTACATGCTGATGCCTCAGAGATTCTGGGCACTAGTCGTTTCATTGATAGCCCTTGTAGACTGGACATGTACTTTTAAGCTATGTCCTAATTTTAACAAAATTCCATGGTGAGAAGGCAGTTTAGATGACCCTTAGAGTTTTTTTTAGGGGATTATATCTATATAAATTTTTCATTTGATAACATAAAGAATAGGAAAAATTCCCCAAAGAAATAGCTCACAGAGATAGTGCTGTGTTCAGGGTTACCTTTGTGCTAAATGGTACAGCTAGGCCACAGATTGGTTTCTATCCCAACGTAAAAAATAAATTAGAATTTGAACCAATGACCTATGTGTTGTGTGATCATGCCCTATAAGATGTAGTTGCTGCTTTTTGGTATCTGCTAGTTTGGTTTTTTGCTTTTTATTTCATTTGAAGGGGCCAAGTTAATTGGAGCCCCTTTTCTTTGCAGTTGAGCATCCCATAATGCTGGCATCATTGTACCAATTGTGAATACAAATCTTTTCCTGATTTGCTATTTTAGTAATATGCATCATTTTTAGCAAGTTAGCATTGTAGGTAACTAAGAGGGAAAAACAATATGTTAGTTACCTGCTTTTTCCTATCTCGTAAGGTGTCTGAGGGAACTGAGGACATAGTTTAGTCTTTCCTGTTAAAAATAAATAAATAAATAAGCAGAGCCCCTAAATTCCTGTTTTCCAGTATGTATATGATGTGACTTCCATGTATATATAAAAACAACTCTGCCCTAACCAAACTTCCTCAGATTGTGCACTGTTTATAGTTTAAAATAATCACGTATCTTAGTCTCAAGCTGTTGGGTTTGTTTTCCATTTTATTTAAAAACACTACATATTTCTTATTCTTTTAACAAATTTTAAAGGGTAGTGATCTTTAAAAAAACACACCCACAATCACTGGATAGTTAGGAAATGTTATTCTGTTTGTTTTTGTTTTATATTTTAAAGAGAGCAAAGGGCAGCAAAGCCCTTTTTTTCTTTTTTCTTTTTCTTTTTTTTTTTTTTTGCTCCTCTCACCAGGAAAGTGAAATGTTAGCCATTGTGTGGCTAGGAACCAATGCACTTGGTGGTTTAACAGATCTACTGTTGCTGGAGTTTGAACTTGGAACTTGATGCAGTGAAGACAAATCATTGCTTAGAATTAATGTTTTTAAATGTGCAACTCTAGTTTTAAAAGAAATTTGGTTCTTCTTTACATTCATTATTTAGTTCTTGTTTCCATCTAGTATTTAATGGTCTTTGAGAAAAAAATAATAAAACAGAGTGTTATATATATATTTTTTGGTGCAAGATAAGACCTTCTGTTTTTTGAAATAAGTCTGTAGCATAAAGGTTAAACTATTTTAAGACAAAATAAAATAGAGTGTATTTAAACAATAATATTTGTCTGAGGTGTTTTTTTTTCTCCCTGCTTCATGTAAGAGGGTAGTATTTAAAGCATCTCCAGATTCGATTACCATCTCTTAGAGTTCAAAATTTACCTATCCTGCCCCAAAATCTCTCCTGACTTCCAATCTCACATCTCCAGCTGCTTTTCAGACATCTTAAATTGAATGTCCAGGAGACATCTTAAACTCAACATTTCCTCCCTCCCCTCCCCCCCAACCTTTCCCTCCTTCTACCTTCCCTATTACTGTAGAGGGCAACAGCATCCTTCCAGTGCCCTCACTGTCACTAATCCCCATAACCAAACTGTTGCCAAGGCCTGGCAATTTTACCTTTGCAACATCTCTTGAATATGGCTCTTCTCTGTCACTTAGGGCAGGCCCTCTTCACCTAATGCCTTGATTATTGCAATAGCCAGCAGGTGGTTCTGCCTGCCTCAAGTCTCTCTCCACTCTAATTCACCTTCCATTCAGCTACTCAAGTACTTTTCCTAAAATTCATGTTTAATCATGTCACCCCCATCCCCAATTCTGGGGGTCAGATTCTGGGATCAAATACAAAATGCTCTATTTGGCATTGAAAACCCTTCATAACCTAATGTCCTCCTAATTTTCCAGTCTTGTTATACCTTAATTCCCAATATACATTCTTGATACTGGCTTCCTGACTATTCTGTGTACAAGATACTCCATCTCTTGACTCCAGGCATATTCTGTAGCTGTCCTTCGTACTTGGAATGCCCTCTAGCCTCTGCTCATACTACTGAACTCCCTGGCTTCCTTTAAGTCCCCACTAACCCCATCTTCTACTGGAAATATTCCCCTCCCCTGAATTCTAATGTCTTCCCTCTTATTTTCTATTTATTCTGTATATATACAGTCTTATTGGGTGTGGCTGCTGTGCATGCTACAGCTTCTTGGAGTCACAGGTGAGAATTGGGTGAAAGGTGGACACCAAAGGTGGATGAGCAGCCCTGAAAAGGGCACAGCAAGCCCTTACACCAGAGGTGCCAGTCCTCTTTGAGCACCTCATACACCCCAGTGAGCTAAACCAGGGTGAGGGTAACCGACAGGCCTCAAGCCCATTGGTGAGTTAGGGGAATGGCTACTGCAACCATGTGAAGGCTTCCCCTGGTGGCATGGGCAGATGAGAACAGTTTGTTCCAAAAGGCCATGAAGGCAGGTGGAATGAGTGCGGTGGAGTGCTTAAAGCTTGGTCAGACAGTAAAGACACCAAGGTCATCCATTGCATCCCAGGCCATTGCCAGTCATATCTACTTTTGTCCTATCGCTGGACTTAGATGACTGGAAGAGAGAGTGAGACTGACGACTCTGTGCAGCTCTGCCTCTCTTCATTCCAGTTCACGTGCAAGTCAAGACATCGCCCATCACATTGTGTGTGATATCATTGATCCTCTTTGAAAACAAAGGATGAACAACGATCTCACACATAATTTGCTTTGTATATATTTGTGCAAAGTAGGCACTTAATAAATATTGATAGATGGATTGAAAAGTGAATAATACTCATTAAAATTCAATATTATTCCTTTCCTGACATTTCTGTTGCTGTTCAGGATGCCAAAGTTGATTTTCCTGATAATAGCAGGATTCCTTTAGGTCTCTCTTCACAAAGTGAATATGGTATTTTTAGATCAAAGGCTAAAGTACATACCAGGATGCTTTTATTTCTCATCTCTACTCCCTACTCCCCCAAAGTACCCACACTGACAACCAGAATATTGTCTTACAATGTCACTTTTTGGGTGGCATTTATGGGCCCTAGAATTGCCCACAGGAAGATTCTGGGGAACAGGATTGGTACTCTAATGGATGCTGGTCACTTTCTTTCTGGGAACTGAACTAGGCACTACCACTTAATTCCCAGATACTAGAGATGGAATCTGCTTCTGCTTCCCACAGCACTGAAAAAGGTATGTGACTACATTTTTTTAATTCTTGTGAAGTTGATTTTCTTTTTGTAGCATTTTAAAAATTTATTTAATATTTTTCCCCATTTATTTATTTTTAGTTTTCGACATTCACTTCCACAAGATTTTAATTCCAAATTTTCTCCCCATCCCTCCCCTTCCCCTACCCCATGACGTCCTGCATTCTGATTCCCCCTTTACCCAATCTGTTCTCCCTTGTCTTCCCCCCTGCCATTCCCTTCCCCTTCTATTTTCCTGTAGGATAAGGTAGATTTCTATACTCCTTTGCTTGTGTATCTTATTTCCCAGTTGCATGCAGAAACAATTTCTAACATTCATTTCTAAAACTTTGAGTTCCAATTCTCTCCCTTCCTCCCTTCCCACCCACCCTCACTGAGAAGGCAAGCAATTCGACATAGGCCATACATGTGTAGTCATGCAAAACACTTCCATAATAGTCATGTTGTGGAAGACTAACTATATTTCCCTCCATCCTATCCTGGTCCCCATTTAATCAGTTCTCCCCTTTGTCCTTGTCCCTCCTCAATAGTGTTTACTTCTGATTACCTCCTCCTCCAATCTGCCTTCCCTTCGATCACCCCTCCCTCTCTTATTCCCTTCCCCCCCTGCTTTCCTGTAGGGTAATATAGATTTCCATATCCAATTGGGTGTGTATGTTATTCTCTCCTTAAGCTAGATCTGATGAGAGTACAGTTCACTCATTCTCACCCCCTCCCTTCCCCTCCAGTGTAAAAGCTTTTTCTTGTCTGTTTTATGTGAGATAATTTACCCCATTCTACTTCTCCCTTTCTCTTTCTCCCAGTGTAATCTTCTCTCACCCCTTAATTTTCTTTTTTTGGATATCATCCCTTCATATTCAACTCACCCTGTGCCCTCTATCTATATATATTCCCTCCAATTACCCTAATAATAAGAAAAGGTCTCATGACTTATAAATATCATCTTTCCATGTAGGAATGTAAACAGTCCAACTTTAATAAGTCCCTTATAATTTCTCTTTCCTGTTTACCTTTTCATGTTTCTCTTGAGTCCTGTATTTGAAAGTCAATTTTTTAAATTTATCTCTAGTTTCTCAAGAATGCATTAAATTCCTCTACATCATTGAATATCAATTTTTTCTCCCTTATTGATTACACTCAGTTTTGTTGGGCAGGTGATTCTTGGTTTTAATCCTAGCTCCTTTGACCTCTGGAATATCAAATTCCAAGCCGTCTGATCCCTTAATGTAGAAGCTGCTAAATCTTGTGTCATCCTGATTGTGTTTCCATAATACTTGAATTGTTTATTTCTGGCTGCTTGCTATATTTTCTCCTTGACCTGGGAACTCTGGAATTTGGCTATAATATTCCTGGGAGTTTTCCTTTTGGGATCTCTTTCAAGAGGTGATTGGTGGATTCTTTCAATTTCTATTTTACCCTCTGGTTTGAGACTATCTGGGCATAGTTTTCCTTGGTAATTTCTTGAAAGATGAGGTCTAGGTGCTTTTTTTGATCATGACTTTCAGGTAGTCCAATAATTTTAAAGTTATCTCTCCTGGATCTGTTTTCCAGGTCAGTTGTTTTTTCAGTGAGATACTTCACATTGTCTTCTATTTTTTTCATTCTTTTGGTTTTGTTTTATAATTCTTGATTTCTTAGAGTCATTAGCTTCCATTTGCTCCATTTTAATTTTTAAGGAATTATTTTCCTCAGTGAGCTTTTGGACCTCCTTTTCCATTTGCTCCATTCTGCTTTTTAAGGCATTCTTCTCATTGGCTTTTTGGACCTCTTTTGCCA